GATCGACTTGGATCGAAGCAGTAGACTCTGGCACAGGAGTTGTTGTAGTTATTCTCGAATTCTTAAAAGCGTTCAACCGGTAAGACCATAACATTTTGCTCTTCAAAATACAGACCTTTGGTATTGGTGGTCCTCTCCTAGGATGGATCTAAAGCTTTCTTCTACACGGGCGCCTGGATGTACGTGTGCTTGATGCGCTGTCAGATCCCATCCGAGTTAAGTGTGGAGTATCACAGGGATCGGCACTAGAACCGCGCTTATTCTTGATGTATATTAATGAAATCACTTGCCTCAGAAGCTCGCACTGTCTGCATTTTGCCTAGGAGATCAAGACGTGGAGGACGATCAATACAGCAAATAATATTACCATATTTCAAACAGCTCTGAATAGGGTATACGCGTGGTCAATCCAGAATATACTTCGTTTCAATGTGGACAGATGTAGAGTGCTGCACCTACAGCACAAGTTGGTGCATTCCTACGAACTCAGCAACCATGAACTTCAAACTTCTTCTGGCGAGAAGCATATCGATGATTCTAACCAGATCGACTTGGCTGTTCGAATCTAGTTGAAATTGTGTCTAGAAGATGCATCTAATATGTGGTCCTCATAAAGCGTGCATTCGGACCATTCGACCCATTAGATTTCCACTGCTTCTCGGCCCATGCACACGGCCACATATGGAATACGCAATACAGACCTAGCAGGTATGGCTGAGGAGAGATCTCAGCATCATGGAGATACCACAACACAGGGCAACTACGAAGGTCAAGGATCTGTATACTTTGCTCTATGAGCTAATGTTTCAAGTGCTCGGGTCTTCATCTATCAGTATCGACGATTGCACGGGGATTTCATTTTGACTTACAAAATTCTGAGAGGTCTCAACCACGCGCGCAGCAATTTGCTCGAGCTCAGTCAAAACAGCAATTTGAGAGACCACCATCTCAAGCTGGCACAGAAGCACAGTTGTTTGGAATGTCGTCGGAATTTCTTTTCCCTACGCGTTTACAGAACGTGGAATATCCTACCGAAATCTGTCTTATGTGCTCCAACGCTGGCAGTGTTCAAATCCAGGGTTGATCGTACATGTATTTCCCTGCTCCACGTTAGATTACTAACTACCCATGGATAAGCACAAGCGTCTGTAAGAAATTGCACTTACAATCACATCCCAGATTTCGTTCCAGGTTATTCCTCTCCTGTATGTGTACATCAAAAGGAGACTTTTGCGAACATCCAATTTGCCGTCATTCGCTATGGCTTTAACCTGGATTTACAGTTTATACTACATATACTTCAGTATGTTCATCAATGTAATCCCAATTTTGCGAACAATTTTGTTATATTTATTAATTTTCCCATATCCATCCTAAGGGACCTAATAAACATTGGCTTTTATACCCGTATAAAACCATTGTTCTATCGTTCAGCCCCTCATCCAGCAAAGGAAAAACTGATCACTTCTCTGGGAGCAAATCATATCATTAAACGATGTGTGGATACCATTTGGTTGCGATTGTCCTGCGGTCCGTCGTGAAAAAATTGTAGATAATTCACCCGCTTTCGCTATCATCATGTCTGACAAATGGAGCGATTTAACCAAGTTATCAGCTGGGTAATCTACTCCAGTGAAATTGAGACACCACTTTGCAAATTGGATTGAGCCTATGCATTGGTTGATGCAAAGTACAGTTGATTGTCGGAAATTCCCTTTCATTTCATGTCAATCCTGCTTCGCTGCTTCTAGATGCCAACTTAAGATTCTTTTCGAATACTCAATAAACATATTTAATCTGAAGAACTGAAACCTTACCATCATTAATTATAAGTATGTTCCCAAAATAGCAGAAAGTTCGGGTGCAACCGATCAACATTTGACGATGCATAAAAAACTCCATAAATAACAAAAAATCTGGCAAGTAACTGATCAAACCTCCTCAAGTGTGCTTCTCGAAATACGAGATTAAGGGTTATTTATTTATTTGTAACTGATAATATAGATTAACGATAATATCAGAAGTATCCGATTGATGAACATATGACGTTTGTTCAATGAACAACGAACAATGAATTTATACGGGTTAAGAAGCGTTGCTTTACAAGCCCCGTTGGATAGTTGCAGGGGATATCAACATAATAATTATGATGAAAAGGATAGTAAAATAGTTAACACTTTAAATACGAAAATAAGGACTTATCGTTTGCTTCGCTGCAGTCCTGCGATCCACTTAGATTCACAAAACCCACAGTTAACAACAAATAATTCCAGGGTAAACTCCAGGTGTAGGATGGAGACATAGTGTTAAGTAACAAAGTGTAAGTGGATGAGTGCATCGTCCAACCGTCCTTTAAATATTGTTAGTGTCGTTGCAGAGACGACCGATTCTGGGAGAGCATTCCACGGGTGACAGACACGGATGGAAAAGAAATTTCTGCGGCACTCCAGACGACTGTATTATTCTGCGAGTTTTAATGAGTAGCCCCTCAGGTTTGTATTACTGCTGAGTTGCAGTAAAGGGCGGCACACATGATGTGGGTCTCGCAGAATCAAGTATGTCATAATCAGGTCGCCTAGTAGTCTGCGATAGCTGCCACTGAACAATCCTATTCGTCGCAGCCTCTCCTGGTAGGACCGATTGCGCATTCCAGTGACGTTCTTAGATGCCCGGCGTTGTGGTTGCTCCAGTGCATTAATGTCGTGTTTCAGCCATGGATGCCAGGCTTGAATTGCGTATTCGACATGGGGGCGAACATACGCACTGAGCATTTGTCGAATTATGGAGCTGTTTATTTGTCCAAACGCCCGCCTCAACAGCTCGACGTGTTGGTTCCCAGTCTTCGACGCCTTTTCGGATTGCCTGGAGCAACCCAAGTCATCTTGAACCAGGACACCCAAGTCACGTTCGATAGTTGATTGTTGCAGTACATCCGTGCCGAGTCGGTATGAGTAGCTGCCGTGATGTCGGATGGAAAGCACCTTGCATTTACTGACGTTGAAATGCAATAAGTTTTGGATCGACCATTGATACACTGTATCTAAGTCACTTTGGAGCACATGTTGGTCGGCGTTCACATGAATCCTGCGCCAGATCTTGATATCGTCGGCAAACATTAGGAAGCTTGAAGCGAGTCCCTGTGCAAGGTCATTAATAAACACCAGAAACAAACATGGACCTAGAACCGAGTCTCGTGGCACGCCACACTCAACTTGTATGAGGTCCGATAAAGAACTCCGAACTCTGACCACTAATTGCCTTTGAAATAGAAAGTTGGCGATCCAGCTTAAAAGAGGGTCGCCGATCCCGTAATGCTGCAGCTAAGATAGTGGTATCCGATGGTCTAGACGATCGAAAGCCTTGGAAAAATCCAGGTAGATCACGTCAACACCTTCTCCAGCGTCAGCTGCCTCGGTCCAACTACTGCGTGCAATTAGTAAATTAGTTGTACATGACCGCTGTCGACGGAAACCGTGCTGTTCAGGATTGATGATGTTGCAATTTTCCAGATAGCACACCAGCGCATCGGCAACTATGGATTCCATGACCTTGGAGAGTATAGGAAGAAGGGTCACTGGGCGGTAGTTGGAGGGATCAGATCTGCTTCCACCTTTGTGAATCGGGCTTATTATTCCAAGCTTCCAGATGGCGGGAACTTGGTTCTGGTCTAAGCAGTGCTGGAAAAACTGAGCTAAAGTTCCTGCCAGTTGGTTCGCTGCTACTCCCAATGCCTCAGGACGAATGGCATCGACACCGGGCGAGCTGTGTTTGCGTAGAGAAGTCAGCTTTTGCAATACAGCCTCTGCGGTAAAATTGATGTGGGTTAGTCCTGGTGAGCAGAATACAAAGCTTGGTAGATCGCTTGGTGGCAAGACCCTTTGAAACGTGGGGGCGTATTGCATCTGCAGCGCGTTTGCAGCTTCCATAGACGTTCTTGTTGGGCCATTAGCCGTCTTGAGTGGAGGAAATCCTTGTCTCACATTTCGTAGGCTATTAACGTGCTTGTACATCAGCTTGTGGTTAGCACTGAAGGTTTTTGCGATGTTCTGCTGATAGGCGGCTTTGTCTTCTCTTAACAGTTGAGTGCAGTGGTTACGTTGGTCTACGTAGTTGTCCCACGTTTCTGGTGCTGGAGCTTCTCTGTACACTCGCCATGCTGCGTTGCGTACTGTCATCCATTTTCGGGTTCTGCTCGTTTGAGAATCTTCACTGTCTGTGAGTAAACTTGATTAGATAACGTGACTTAGGTGACCACAACCGAGGACAATCCGCTTGCACGAGGCTGAAAAATACGGCCTCTGGAAAAATACATAGTGAGGCTCGGTCAAAGATGGGACAGTTTCTTTAGCAAACGTATAGCAACCTATTGCTAAATAGCTTTTCCAAATTTTATGTTGAAAATTACTCGATTTTTGCCATTTTGAATATGCCAGTCGACCGCATCCGCAGCCGATAGTATATAATATCGACGTTGCACCCACCCGAACACAAAAAGCGAACTTTTCTTCCAGTTAGAATTGCTTACTAAAAATCATACTTTAAATTGATCGCGCAGGAATACGACATTCATGGGATAGGGTGTCTGATTGCATGTCATTATTATAATTACTCTGCTTATGACCATCACCCAAAATGGAGTTCTTAGGATCGGTCTTATTTTTGACTTGGTACATTATGTGATAAGGTCACAAGCAGTAGCCATTTTGCATTCGTCCCTAGTTTCCCAGTTCTTGATTGCTCTAGCTGAAGGATATTGTTCTTAATCGCATCTCTTCCATATTTGTATGATTGTCGAAATTCGCATAATTTTGTGACACATGTTCAAACGATTATGTCCACAGCACTTCCATAAAGTAACCAAAGTTCGCAAGCTGTGGTAACCTGAAATTAATTTATTGTTATGTCATTTGACATTATGCAACCCTTCATGAGGGAAGCCAGTTGTTGACAGCTCCGACATATAGCTGCATATTTTCGTTGCATTTTTTTCGCACACTTACCATTATAAATAGAGGAGCGATGAATTTCCAGGTGATTTTCCAAAAGATTCCAGGCTCAAAGCCAAGCATTCGTTTGATATTTTGACGGAATCGGTCAACACCTGTGAGGTTTGATTATTGTCTATGTTATAAAAAGTAACCGTCTTACCGTAAATCCAGGATACACACATTGTTTCACAAAATACTGCCAGAAGGATAGGGTACTCCACGCACATGCGTTCGAACAGGTGGAAGAGGTATATCCCTCCCTAAATAAAGGAACAAGTTTCCTGGTCAAATAACAAAATATTTGGAGCTCAGTCGAGTGCATAAACTTAAGCTGCTTGTTGTCACGTAGGAGCAAATGCAGTGTATTAAGTTGGGAGTGTCTTACTAAAAATCGCAAAAAAGCAGTTGTTATCTGTGGAAGCGAAAAATTTGACACCCCATCTCTTCTTCACTACGACTTCGGACAACTGACTTTGAGCTTTTCTGAAAAGTTGTAGGTTATTCATGGCGCTACTTGACACCGATCATCCAGCCACCAAATTTACCGGCGATAGGTTGAGGTTTAGACCGTGCGCCTCTCGAGCTATAGTTAGATCATGTTAATCTATGTACAGCAAATAGTCGTACAAAATAAGAAACTTGAGGAGTGCAACTACTGATTTATCAAGCACAGTTAACAGTAGTGGTGCACTGAGGAACTCTGCTACAGTCGCTCTTCTCTAACATCCGGATGAGCGAGACGGTTGATTATCTCTGTGAGTTTAAATCATGACATAAGATCCAACTACAACTCCGCGCGAAAATGTTGCAGCACCTGCTTCTTTTGTGCATGAAAAACATCAGGATTTTTTAGTAAGGGAAGGCATATCGACAGATAAACTGTGTTGCGATGAGTAGTTCACTAGGCCCTCTGCTGGAGGACATGTTCATGGGCATTATAAGAAGAGAAGACGGATGATATCATAAAACTGGTGACTCCATACAAGTGTTACTTGCATGCATACCGACGAGGTTATCGTGCCTGCAGCAGCGAAGCTCAAAATTATTCAACCGAACCTTACAGTAATATTGTACATGGCGCGCCACAATTGTTATCCATACATGAACGTACTGATCACACGGCAATTGAATGGTTCGATCAGGTCAGCTTATCGAAAAGCAACATGGACGGACTGGCATATGCACTTTAAGTGTTTCTTTGCGATATGACAAAAACGCAAGCTGGTTCGGATACTGTATCATCGAGCCCACAGGAGTTGCCTTCCGGAAACAGAAACAGCCAAATATTTTCTGTTGGAAACACTACAGTCCCACGGTTATCCGATACAGCTTATAAAGCGTATTAACGACATGGCCAAAACATGTCGTACACCAAGCGTTCAAAAGAAGTGGATTTTCATCGAGCGGTTATTCAGAGTTAAGCATATTATGAAAACCACTACGAAAGACCATATTGTTTCGGTGAAAGAGCGTACAATGCAGCTGTAACACGGTTCCTCACTTCAACACGACCTCTGCTTATGCGTTTCATTAAGACACCGATACCAGTGCAGTGCATGTTTCGTTGATTATACAAATTCACCTGTAGCTGCGGAGGCAGTAAATTCGGACGCGCTACCGGAAGTTTAGCTGTCAGGATCAATGAGGTAATCCCTAAGTGGTTGCACAGCCGCATGGTATCGACGATGGTGAAATGGTGTGAATTAAAAAATCGAGCTGCCTCGGAAGTCACAAGGCACTTGATAAGCATCGGCTACCGAGTTATTTCCGATGAGTCATTCGCTGTCTTCATGCGCAGTCAGTGGCCCAAAATTCTCAGCCAATTGGAAGTCATTTTCATCGATGGAGAACGGCTACCTCTATGTGTACAGAAACGTTTGACTGTGAATCATAACCTACCGTGTTAGTGCTAGGTCTGAGTACTGACCAATGATTGGCTAGATATTGACCTCATATGACCGATTTTTGTATATCGGTGATTTTGCATAATTTTTAATTGGGAACCTGGCAAGAAATGGCTGATTCATCTCACAGTGCACCTCCTCTGTTTTTTGTCAAAAATTATCAAAGGGAAAAACCTGATTCAAATTTCACCAAGGGGTGATTATCCTCATCGCCAACTCACGCTGCGCGCATAGTTGTTGTTTTTAGGCATCTGCATGAAATGCGCTTTAAGTTGACCTTTTTGAGATTGATACCTAGTTTTTTACCCATTGTTGGCATCACCGATTGATTCGACCGCATGGGCTATTACGTACAGCTGAGTTGATTGGAATCCAATGTATCCATACTGAACTTTTATTTTTCACTGTTCTTTCTACTTATGAAGCCGGTTCAATCAGCTGGTATTTTCTGGATAATTTCACCAAAAAGAGAAGCGTTTCAGCTAAGAAGACGAAAAAACAAGCACCGGTAACTCTCAGCTATGACGAAAGAATTGATTTTTTTACCTGAAATGCAAAACCCCAACAACGCTGTTGAAGAAGTTTATCTTACTGAAAACCGAACCGCTGAACTTTGGGACTAATTACGAGCAAGTCCGGTCATTTTGCGGACTACTCAAAGGCTCAAACGACGTGAAACTAGACACACCACATATGACTGGTTTTCTTTTATCATTAATAGCAACTGAGACTCAGGAACGTTTACGCAGATCAAAGAATTCAATTATTTTCAACACACCCAAAGGATTCAGTACATAAAAAGTTAAAAATATTCTCCTCCTAGCATGTAATATGAATTGCTCTAATTTCTCTCTCAGAATCTCGAGGAAGACAACATAGAGCTTATGTGCCATCCTCCTTAAATTGTCCGATGACACGACGGCCGAAGAGTTTGTGCATAACAAACAGCTTATAGCTGAAAAAACTGAGTTTAAAAAAGATTTTAGTTAGAAGCGACCAAACACCAATACTGAAGCTGTTTGGACCTAAGGTGAATCATTCAGGTATTCAGATTTCCCAAACTTGAACCGATCATTTTAACAGCCATTTAGAACTTGACTAATCACCAGTACCGCCCCTATATAAAGCTACTTACCATCACCGAGTCCACAAGCTCACCCAATGCAAGATAATCCTGACCTGATCCGGTCAGAAGATGCTGCACCCTGGCACAATGCAGTTACTATTACAAACCCCCTCAAAACTTGGTTCCATACCATGTGCCCCCTTCATAGGCAATGAGGTCGTAAATCATGTGGCATCCATTTGGAACCAAACTGTAGCCTGTGCAATAAGGAATAATGGAACTCCGAATGAACGACGTTCACGGGGAATGCCCAATGACCGATAACACCAAAGCAACCTACACCAGGATCTAAGAGAGGCTCATTAAATCAGCCTAGAAATACTCTAATCTGTTGCACTTCTGCATTTTATATTTGAACCGATGCTCAGGTCATTGGAAGCAAGTCGACCTGTTACCCACCATCACATAGGTTGCTGCTAACTACCACTCCGATCCGAAGATGTTGATATTCTAATTCACACAATGAACCAATTTAGAACAAAGCTGGATTTATATTTGGGGTCTTGCAACCGATGGCAGCCTCATTCTCTAAATTGCCTACCACTGTCATTTCCTCCTACGAAACAGTTTCACCCTTTGCTAAGCGATTTGCTTTCAGGCTAGCAAATGCGTCCATCAATCGTGCCTACAAATACGAGTACACAGAACCCAGTTGTGAGCCAGTTGTTCTGGTATTTTCTTCTCTGAAGCCATTACAACATAACGCACAACAGAGTCCAGTTGTTTCATTACGGTACACCACCCGCCTCCATGTAGACCTAATCTGTGCATCCTACATAATTCTTTTCTCTTTGTTCCGTTGTTATAAATATTCCTTTGCTATTACCCAAACTTGCTTTCCATGCAAAGTGTATGTTCCTTAAGACTTCAAATTATTAGTATCATCGAAACATTATGTATATCAGCTATATGTGACTTTCAACTGGATGCTTTGGCTTATCAGTTTGTTTGGGATGATCGTCTGCACAAACGCGGCGATGGATGTAATTGCAGCTGACCCTTTTTCATATCGTAGAGAAATAAACAATTAATTTATTGATTGCTTCTCCTCATCTTGAACTTTCTTCCTTTTTTAAACATTCTGCTGAAACGAACCTGATCGACTTCCGACCGTCGTCCATTTGGAAGCCTTGTTTGAAACGAAATTAACATCAACTATTTTGTCTTGTGCCACAGTCTTGTAATTTTAGCCTGCAATTCATCTGCATTTATGATCGCATCAGCTTTGCTGGACAGTGTCTTACCATGCGGAGTAAATACCGGCGATTATTACTCGGGCGTTCGTGTACTTCCTTAGTGCTCCTTAAACGGACATAAGCCGTAATTGTGACATTCTAAACAGTTGTCAACCGTGACACACCATGGGCACTCGAAGTAATACTGCGTTCAAAAGGTAAGCAATTTTTTCTAAATAGCGAGCCAACCGGCGGAGGTTCCGTACTGTGGCTACTGAGCGCACGTGGAATTATGTTTAGACAACAAACTGCTAGTTGATGTATTCATGAGTAGGGGATGTTGATGTAATTATGTGAGGTCCATCGCAGCCAGTTTCCAAATCAGATAGTCGTCCACATGCCCGGAAAAGCACTAGACTGCAGTTTCAGCCTGTTGGGCATCAAAATCCCCTGCTCATGAGTGCATCAAATTATATCCGCCCTGATACTTTCTAAATGCTACGTCGTACATAGCTACTGTTATTAGACGTCGTATTTCTCGGGGCTAATCCTGTCCTCTGCAACCTTCGTAACTTGCATGGCAGTGGCGGATAAGACAAGCTATATCGCAGTTAGCTTGTAAATCATGACGGTCCGAAGCTGTCCCCTGTGTCCCATTGGTATAAGCTGCTCACTGGCGGTTCAAGCGGCTGGTGGTCATGGGTTCGAATCCTGACGGATCCGATGGATGCGCACTACCGACCACGCCCAACTGGCTGAAACTGCAGTCTAGTGCATTTCCGAGGTGTGGACGACTATCTGATTTGGAAACTGGCTGCGATGGACCTCAGCTAATAATTGCTATTTGCCTGGTTTCGCTCTGACCGTTAGTTGACTATCGAATGCCATTGAAGTAAGCACATGCACAAGTTGCTCGGCAGATTATTGTCAGGATAACAATGAAAGACCCTGGAAAGCAGTGCGTGTGTGTGTGTGTGTTACATTTTGCTAGGAGCTAGGAAAATGTTTCGCTGTGACAATTCAGTTACATTGACAAACCTACAGAATAGTATGAG